AGATCCCCTTCCAAGTCCTTTCCTGTCTTTTTAATCACTTTTGCTTTCTTCATGTATAATATACTTAATGTTATCTCACAACTCATCTGGTCTTTGGTCATTGGTATTCAGTGCATCAAATCTATTCTTCATATGATCTCTAAATTCAAGTGGGATATAATTAAGTTTGTATTTTGGGTCTCCTGGACTTGTTTTCATTTTCTTCAGCTTCAACTTAAACTTGCATATCAACAGTTGATGATCTGTTCCACAGTCAGCCCCTGACCTTGTTCCTGCTTAGAATAATTTAAATGGGAGAAGTCCTTCTTTTTAGTCAAGTAAGAACTGTCTGTTGATTATACCATGGGGGTGAAACACTGATCTTGAGCTGAGTCTAACTCATGGTGATCCATGTGTATCAAGGTAGCAACTGTGCTCTGTAGGGTTTCCAGGGGTTGGTTTTTTCAGAAATAAATTGCCAGGCCTTTCTTCCAAGGAGGAGCTCTGTTGGTGTAGTGCCTAAGGCATTTGACTGCTAACCAGAAGGTTGGCTGTTCAAACTCACCAGCCACTCTGCTGAAGGAAGACTGGGTGATCTACTTCCATGAAGATTTACCACCACAGAAACCCAAAGGGGGTCACTATGAGTTGGAATCCACTTGATGGCAGTGAGTTTGGTTTTTGGTTTTCTTCTAAGGCACCTGTGGGTTTACTCAAACCCCTGATCTTTCAATTAGCAGTCAAGCATCTTTGTGGACTCATTCCAATGAGCACTGTTGCAGCACACACTTCATTGCACAAATTAATGAAGGCTATTAATTCTCTCATCTTCCTCCTCCCTCCTCATCCTCCTCTAAATATAACAAAATAGTTTTAAAAAAAACCCTGATACAGCATCACTAAGTGCTGTACCCTCACCACCAGAGCATTAACAAAGGATTTCTCAGTGTTTCATTTTCAGCAGCTCATCTCCACTGAATTCATCACGTGTGTACAGAGGACTAGCGTGTGGGGTTTACAAAGAGAGACATTCCAACACCGATAACCAAGGATATTTGGGGATAGGCCCTGAGAAGAGTAATTCATATACTTAATTTAAAATATGAGAAAGGACAGGCATTTTGTAAGCCATGAATGTTAAAGTCATACCTCAAGTGATGGCACCACTGAGATGGTGGGGGCTGGCTGGCTGGGGCCCTGGAGGGGTTTCTCCTACAGTTGAGATGCCATGGAAAGCCCTTGGCCTGAAAGTTGGAGCGGTTCAACCCTACAGTGCACAGTTCTATTCAGAAACACATGGGCCACCAGAACTGCCCTGTTCTAACCAGTAGAATGAACCTGCCTCAGTTTCTTCATCTGTGGACAAGAGGGTTAGACTAGATGGACGCTGAAGACCTCTGAAGACTTCTACCCTCTCAAGCCTTTTTCAAAAGCTGACATGATTTAACATAAGCAACCCGAGTCCCCACAGTGGCCCCACTGGCAGTCCTCATTCCTTCCTCCCCTACCTAAGCAAAACTCAGAAACTCAGGCCAAAACTCAGAAACATACCCAGCTCCAACACCTTCTAAGCAGGAACTTTCCATACAGTGTCTAAAAGATGCATAATTAGCACATTCAAACATTTGTCTCAGCAACAGGAAACGTCAGAGGTCAAAAGAGTGCCTCTTTGGAATCATCATAAGCAGCTAAACTGTTTCATCTTCTTTGGACTAATTAATAAGTCCACTGTTTCGCCAGGGTCATTTTTTTTAATGAAGAGATAATGATTAGCGAGTATAAACACATGTAAAGCTTTCTGTGTGTGTGTGTGTGTGTGTGTTTTGTTCTGTTACTCTGCATTGTCCAACGTCTGTAACATTATAGTCAAAGGAAGCTAAAATCAAACATAGCCACAGCTCATTCCTAGGGACGCGTGTGCAGAAGGTGCCTGGCCTCAGAATCGCCCTGATGATGGAGAGGTTGAGGTCCACACACAGACTTGGTGACCTCAAGCTGTGTGGCTAACAGACAGGAGTGGCATGTTCAATCACTTTGACTTTCTTTTTGAAAATCTGTAGCTGGAGCCAGTTTAGTCACCCCAGGGAGTCTGTGCAGCATAGACGGGGAGACAAATTAAGGCAGTGTCGGCTCTGTAGTAATTAGCTTGCTGGCCTCCATGTTTATTTTCTGATAAAGTGACCGGGACCTCCAGCAGCACTTATCAGGGGTCAGAGTGCCAGAGGAGGCCAGGTGTTTCCTATCATGTCCAGGCTCCCCTAGCCCAGAGGTCAGTGACGCTTACTCAACCTTGGCATCACCTGGGGAGCATTAACTCATGCCACCTTGGGTTGGTGGGTGCAGCAGAGTCACTGGGATGTTTAAAAATAACCAAAACAAAGCCAAACCTGGCGCCACCAAGTCAATTCTGATGCATGCCTTTGAGTAGAACGGGGCTGCACGGGGTTTTCATGGCTATAGACCTTTGGGAACAGATCCCCAGGCCTTTCTTCAGAAGCATCTCGGGGTGACTTTGAACTGCCAACCTTTCTGGTAGTAGCTGAGCACTTAACTGTTTGTGCCACCCGGGGAGTCCTTAAAAGCTCCCCAGGTGATTGTAATGTGCCACTAAGTTTGGCAACCACTGTCTGAGACAAAATCTGCAATCAGCTTTCAAAAGCAAGCATGCTCTTGTCATCTGTGACAATACCCATAGGAAATGTGTTGGAGATATCCTTTAGATTTCTAAAATATACTCCTCACGCCAGGTTTGGCAACAGTAAAAATTAGCACTCCATGCCCCCTGGTGGCTCGTCAATAACGTTACACCTTTAAAATCTGAATACAGTGGAGCAAAGTGGTCCCTGTTGCCTCACCAGACTTTTCTCAGAGACCCGTGATGGAGCATTCATTGAGCGAACTGAGAGCATACAAGATCAGAAGTTTCTATCCAGATTTCTAAATAAATTACTAATGTAGCATACCCAAGATTATTTTAACTCCACATTTGACCACCGTGGACAAACCACTGGGTGGATAAACCCCATTCAGAAAAGATTGTGTGTTCTGTGTCTACACACACAAAGCATGTGTCCTCATTCATCTTCGGGCCCACTGAGAGCTCTTTACAAGTCCAGGAGCCCTGGTGGCACAGTTGTTAAGTGCTGGGCTGCTATCCAAAAGGTCGGTGGTTCAAACTCACCAGCTGCTGCACAGGACAAAGATGTGGCAGTCTGCTTCTGTAATGATAACACCGTGGGAAACCCTGTGGGACAGTTTTACTCTGTCCTATAGAATCACTTGGAATTGAAATCAACGGCAGTGAGTTTTGTTTTGTTGTTGTTCATCCTTTGTTGTTGTTGTTATGTGCCATCGAGTCGGCCCCGACTCATAGCGACCCCTCCTTGGGTTTCCGAGGCAGTATCACTACGGAAGTAGGAATGCCCAACCTTCCTTCCAAGGAGTGGCTGGTGGGTTTGAACCGCCAGCCTTCTGGTGTTCATCTCTTACCACTGATCTTTTCATTAGCAGCTGAGCACTTAGCTGTGAAGCCACCAGGGCACCTTTTCCTGGATGTTGGACATGCCATTTCATTGACTTCTCACGGCATCCCCATATAATAGATGCTGTTATCTTTTACTGTTCAAGTACAGAAGCTCAGAGAGGTTGTGACTTGCCCAACCTAAAAGGTGCTAAGTGGCACCAGCAAGATTCGAATCCCCATCATCTGACTCCACCGGAGCCCACTCTCAACAACTATGCTTCCTTGCTCCTCTGTCAGTGAGAACACATCAGTCTTTACATAAAGTTAATCTTGATTCTCTGTGCTCCAATAATTCATGTGATCATAGGCCCGACCTACCCTGTACCACGCAACCTAGAAACTCCAGTAAGGTGGAGCCTTAGAACAACCATGGATTCAGAAAACAGTGCAAGCATTTTCCAGTGAAATGTGGCTCTCTTCCCCAAAGCAGTGATTCTTGAACTTGGGTGAGCATCCCAGGCAGCTAGAGAACTTTGTTTGGACAGGGGGCTAGGCATACCCCCAAGGTTTCTGGGGTGCTGGGCACACCCCCAAGGTTTCTGATCTAAGAGCTTGCATTACTGACCAGCGCCTAGGTGATGCAGCTGGCCTGGGCTCACCCTTTGAGAGCCCCTTCCCCAGAGCCCTCCTGGCCAAGAGCTCTCAGGAGTTCCGGCTGGAGCTCCCATAGCAGGCTCACTCTCACGGCCCCTAGTGGCACGTTGGACTCTGCAGGTGCCCAGCCTGCACACAGCACTGTGGCCATAGACCTGGTGCAGATGACATTCCTTCTCTGGATCTTACCCCACCCCCCCTGCCAACCACATAAGACCCCGGGTAGGCATCCATGGTGCCTGCTCATTACCATCCTGGCTCCCAGCCGCCTGTGTGAGGTCTGCCATTCAGCCTGGCTGTGCCCTTTAGAACACCCGATTCTCAGAGATGACAGAGACAGTCTCTGCGAGGCCTGCACAGGAGTCCCGTGGCCCAGCATGCAGGAGATAATTCACAGTGCGTGAAAACTGGTCTTCAAAAACCAAAACCAAAGGCGTGTGGTCCAGAAGATTCCAACTCACAGCGACCCTACAGGACAGAGAACTGCCCCATAGCATTTCCGAGGCTGTCATCTTTACAAAAGCAAACTGCCTCACCCTTCTCCCGCAGAGCAGGTGGTCGGTTTGCACCCATTGTGCACCAAGCCTCTTAAAATTGGCCTTAGAGGGCAGAAGAACGCCCCTCCGACTTATGAGGCCTCTCTCCTGGAAGGGATCAGTGAAGGCACACGGTGTGCTTCACACATGACAGTGGGGACACTGGGGAGGCCTAACGAGGAACAGCTGAGCCTAAAATGCAGCCGCAGTGGCCTCGCCCTGCTCCCCTCCCTAACCTGGGCTTGCCGTCAGTGACCCCAGAAACTGTAGGATCACACACACACACATACACACACACAAACCCCTCGCACGTTTCTGATTGCCCACTGTCTTCGGACTGCCCTTCCTGACACAGTCTCCCTCCGCAGGGCCGGAAGAGAAGACCGACAACACCGGGCAGGCCCGCACCTGCTGCGCCTCGTGCAAAGAGTTCCACCAGATGAAGCAGACAGTGCTGCAGCTGAAGCAGAAGGTGGGTGCAGGGTCGGGTGTGCGGACCCCAGTGGAGAGGCAAGGGCTGTGGAGGAAAAGTGGAAGCCTAGGTAGGAACATAAGAAAATGCTTCTTCGTCCCTGCTCGCCTTGGTTGGATGAGGAGTAATTTATGTGTGAAAAATCCAAAACAAGCTCAATGCTATCGAGTCAATTCCGATTCACAGTGACCCATGGGACAGAGCAGAACTGTCCCATAGGGTTTCCAAGGCTGTAAATCTTTACAAAAACAGACTGCCTCATCTTTCTGCCAGAGTGGCTGGTGTTCAAACCATCAGCCTTTTGGTTAGCCGTGGACGTTTTAACCATTGTGCCACCAGAGCCCCTCTGTTGTTTGAAAGTATGTCATCAGTACCTGGATGGGAGTACTGGCTCAAAATAGGTTTGGAGTCAGGAGACTTTGCCCACCACCCTCAGGGCTGATAATCTCCAGAGCAATAAAACCCAAGGAAGCTGGGGAGTTGGTTGTTGTTGTTGGCTGTAGTCGAGTCACCCCACTTGTGTAATACTTGTGTGTTACAGAAGTGAACTGCACCATAGGGTTTTCGTAGCTGTAATCTCCAGAGAAAGATCACCCAGTTTTTCCTCCACGCAGCAGCTGAGGAGTGGGTTCGAACCACCAACCTTTAGGTTAGCCACGGATCATAAACTAACTTCACTCCCCAAGCTCCTGGAGTTGACTGTTGTTTTAAGCTGTCATTGTGAGTCCCTGACTCGTGGCAACCCTGTCTGCTGACCCCATGATTGTGGAAGTTGCTGTTCCAGAGAGGATGAGCTGTGGACTTCCATGATTATGGGAGTGTCCAGACACATGACACTGGGGCAGGCTTCTGTAACTATATTTTATCTACTGTTTTACCTGTGTTTTATCCAGTGGAGAACAGTCTCTCCATAAACGTCCACAAGAAGATACATTTTCACATTTAAAAGCTAAATCACAGCACGGGCTTTGCCTGGCCTCCGTGTGCCTAGGCATTTGGCAGTTCCGACCCACGGCTGGCATTCAAGGCACATGTGAGAAACCAATCATTTTTAAAGGCACCTATTAGAATGCATTGCATTCTACAGTTTACAACACAGCTGTTTGGTGCCATGTGCCACAGACGGTGAGGACTGACTGACTTTATAAAAGGCTTCCATCCACGTGTGATGGTTACCAGGTCTCCGCCCAT